CGGTAAAAAAGTATACATTTATATAATAATATATATATATATATACCTGTATATACGGGAAAAAAAAAAAAAAGTTAATACTTTTTATTGCATCCGCCGACGACGTGATGCTTTACGGCAGTGTCCATAAATCATGTATACTGGGTACCCCAAACACGGACCGTGGTAATCCTATGTAAATACCTGTCATCGACAATACATATTGCTACTATTATTATATTTTGAAAATATCGCGCACGGTTCGAGCGTATAATAATAATAATAATAATAATACGTTTTACCCTTTTCCGTATCGCTATTAAGTGTTCTGATTTAGAAAATTGTCCGTTTGGGTATCAATAACGCGGTGCCGAAACCGCTGACACCGAGATTGATATTATACCATCATAATAATGTACACGATAACATGTTATATCAATCAGCGCCAAACTTCTGAGGAGACTTTGAGTAGGTATACGCATAATATATTAAGGTGTACCTACCTAACTATCTGTCTATAGGTGCGTGGGAGACAAGTTGAAATAGCAGTGCGCTACCTGTCATTATATACAAATTTCCACGTCTCATTAAATCCGTGTAGCCACTCGAATAAGAGATAAATACCCGAGTACGCAATTTCACAGACTATACACATCACTACCTATATAACAGTATCGGGGCACGTATGTTCAGGCTTAGATAATCCATAATCTAGTCGCTTATCCTACATACTGCCTACACGTTTTATGTCCGACAAACTGACGTATTCGGTAGAATAATAAGCCGCATATTTTATTATTGGGTATTATTGATTTACTTTACGTTTTTTTTTTTTTTAATTAGGTACAAACGCTTCTCTGGCATTGACACATCGAATTCGAGTGAACCACCTACATTGATGTAAATACGTCGTGTTTTATAAAATAGGTTTTTAAATATTTGTAGATACGTTTTTAATTATTTGGTTCGTGGTAGCTATTTGTCGTATTATAACAAATGTCACATGCAGATTTACAACACTTAAGTGGCAATGTAAATATCGTTAACCGTCAATTTATTTTAAATTTAAGTTTACATTAAATTAAATTTACATTCCTGTAGAACGGACGTTCTATAATATTTTTTTACCGTTGTAGAGAAACACAAATCGTTTAAGGGATAAAATACTTTTGAAGATATTTACTACTTTGAGGAGTTAAATTATTACTCTAACAATACTTTGTTCGTCGAATAAATTAGGCTTATTTTTGGCTTTATTATTAATTTCTTTAAATTTGAATTGATTTATTACGTTTAACATTTATTAGGCTTACTTTTATTTTTTATTCCTTATACCTATAAATAATTAAGGGTCGTACTAGGTACCTTGTATGACCAAACATTAGATGTTTACTGAAGAATAAACTTCTAAAATGTTTTAAAAACAACTTTTTGAATACTCAACACTTTAAGCAGGACTTTAACAATAGGTATTCAAACAGTTTTTATTACCTATAAAATACGTTTTTATGATACTAGTTCCATTTACCAAATTAGCTTTTGAATAATAAATTACTTTTGTAATGAAACTAAAAAATTATAACAAAATATAAGATAAGTATGAACTTAAAGAAATGTAGGTACAAATAGAAAATTCTGAAGAAAATGATTCTATGATTCTACGGCTGTAATTTATATTATCGTTTTATTTTCTGTCAAATTTTCTCCGAAAATAGAGATTATTGCCCCATATTTTATCTTTTATACACCTATATAAATTGTTTTCACTACTTTTGACCACTTTTAGCGGCTCCTAGACCAAATGAACTCACACTCGAAAATTAGAGATGTTGTACAGATCCCCAGGCCAGGGGAAAATTCTAATTATTTTTGTTTTTTGTTGAACTGTTAATATAGGCGATGGTTATTGCAACTTATAGATAGTAGGTATTTCTACTACAATAACTTATAATACTTCTTTTGTTAATAATTATTGTCTCGTAAAAAGCCTTGAAAAAAAAAAAAAAACTGATAGTAAGAGTATGTTAAAAGACGACCGTAGGCCCCCACACGACAACTCTCGGCTGGGCACAGTATTCCCCCAGGTATTACATTCTTCCGCTTGAAAAAAAATTAATAAACAATTATTGTAAGAATGAAAGGTAGGTACATTGTACAAAAACCTTTTTACCCGTGCGTTTTCCTTATTCAACGTTTTTGGGACGCTTCCAAGTATTTTCAATATTTTAACTCCAATCCACGGTCAACCACTAGAGAGAGATTAATTACTATCTAAGACCGAGAATATTTTCGACGAGGGTTACACGATCGGTGGCGTTTGATTGACAGACTACGTGCCCGGTCCCTAGTCACCAATACTTTAGGGAGACTTCAAGGGTGTTCCGTGAAAACGAAAAAATCACCAGAGGTTTCGAGTATTATTATATGTATTTGTACACCGGAATCACAGAAACGGTCGTTTCATCACGTATAACGAGCGTCTATTTTCTACACCTCTCAAAGAGACCTTACTTAGATGTTTTTTTTTATTTTTTTTTGTAAATGCGAAAATAAACGTTTTTATTTAGTTTAACCGTATTAAATTCTATTTAAACGCAGCAGAATCGCAATAAGAAAAATATGTATTTTTCACAGAATGGAAAGTACATTTTTTTTTCCTTATGATTTGTCCTTGAAAAGGTATGCCGAACACGACTATTAACGGGCTATTAATGTACAGCCATTTACAGACAATTATTTAACTTAAAATGTCTCGTAAAATAATCCTATTATAGGCGTCTGTAGACATTTTATCTTTAATATACCCGAACTATTAAGAGTGTCTTAATCGCGGATATATAGGTACCTAATAGGTATACGTAGGTATGCGTTTAAAAAAAAAAAAAACATAGATAACCCAACGAAATATATAAATATTAAAAAAAAAACTATATTAACTAGATTCTAATTAATTTATATATCACATAGCGCCAAATTAACGTAATTTAAATAAAACAACAGAACGAAGGCGCCGAAAAAAAAAATTGTTCAACGGAGGAATTCCATCATGAACTCGGACGTATTATACCTGTGAATACGTGCGAATAAAACAATAATTTTTTTTTATTTTAAATTTAAATCGCTACCATTGACAACATGTTTAGCAAACTTTTGGGGCGGCTATAGGTATCGGAAAAGTCCAGTCGCGGTTATACACGTAAATATCCGAACCAGAGCGAAAAAAATTTTTTTTTTAAAAAAAAAACGCCGGACAAAAGATTTGCATAATAACCGAATTTTGATTTTCACCCCCGAAACGCGGGCATATTATTCGCGTGTTATCGGATATTATATTATCATATAATATTATATAAATACAGTCCCGTGACGACGGTAATCCGAGAGAAACCAACGATATTTCGGCTTACCTTTTCGGCGAATTTTTCACGTTGCACAATTTTATTGGCGGTACGGCGTATAATCCAAACGTGACAGACGGCGAAATAAACACAACAATAACAACACGATAAACCGAAAATCGGATAAGTATTGTTATAAATCGGCACACGTGAAACACGAACACGCTGTGTATTACAAAATTGTACTGGAAAAAACGCGGTACGCCGGACGATCGAATTAACACGTTTGACGGTTGTGCGCGCGATAGGGACGAAAAACGGGTACGACGACGACGGCAGCGACTCGCGGGAAAGACGACGAGAGCGACGGCGGCGGCAGCGACATGCGACCGGACGGAGCGCGCGAACGAAACTGTTGTGAGTTTGAGCGTTGCCCGACGCGCGCGCGGGGAGGGAAAAAACGACGTGCTCTTGGACGGTGTGCGCGCAGTCGGGCCAACAGAACAGACGCCTCCGTGGTAATATACCCCGGCGATCCCTTTGGCCGTCGCGGTTATCCACGGCGGCGGGGAGCCGGCGACCGCCGGACATTCGATACCTTATAAGTTATAATAATATTGCTGTTATTATTATCATCGTCGTCATCGTCGCGGTCGTTTTTTTCGCCGGGGAAACAAAAACCGAAATCCGTAACGGAAAAAAAAAAATAAAAAAAAAAAATATATATATATATAAAATTACCCGACCGCATATTGTTGTACGCCGCAGCACACACGTCCAATAAATTCCTTTTCACCGTATACTCTTTTATTCTTTCTGTTTGCCGTGTTGTTAATTTATATCGGTAGGTACCCCGAACCCACGGACGTAAATTGGATTCCCAAATACGATACGTTGATTGTTACGACCGATATTGATTCACAACAAATAATTCGTCGATTTGGTACCTACCAGCTATACAAGTCTATATTACAGTTATGTATAAAACCATTATATAGCATAGATAACGTTTTGATCGAACTACTCGGGAGTCTCCTTCACAGAGTAATTAAAATCTATACTTGGTGAAACATGACTGATAATAATTTTTTCAATATCGCCGGTATAATATTCAATTCAATATTTAAAAAAATGTATGACTTCACTATTTCTTAATAAACACTTTTTACACCACACAGTATCAAGTTTAGACTACACACTTTGTGTTCTCTAGAAAAAAAAAATGGACCCTTTTCTAAAGTTTATAAATATTTAATTAATTTGTCTGAATCTTTGTACAATTATTTAGAAGTATTATACTGCACCACTAGGGAGTCCAGACGTACCGGTTTTTAAAAGTCTATCCTGGTGTCCCGAAAATCCTTATCGGGACTCCGATTTGTCCCAGAATTAAATTAAATACCTAATAAAAGCATTAAATATTTTGAAAATTAATTATGATAGTAATAATCATAATCAATTATATGTTTGAGTATATTTCATTCAAGTACTCTTTATTTCCTTTTCGTTATATTTATACATTAACCACTATGGTTATTATTATTATTATCGTTTATTTTGTTTGTCAGTTTTTGTTCTCATAAAACTGAACTATTAATAGATATATTATCTATATTCAATTGTAGTTTATGATTTCATGATAGGCAATAGCGATAAGCATTACCACATTTTCTACATCAGTAGAATCAGTAGATAACTTATTTGTTACTCTTTAGTATGCTTACTATTACGAACGAGTGCTGTGACATTTACTTTTTTATATTAGTGTTAGTACCTGTTCTAATAATATTGAAATGTCTAAACGTCAGTGTAACTATAAGGATAATTTTTCTAAATAATGGGATTGCATAATAAGAAGTCGTTATAAAGCAGAAATTGAATGCACACTGTACCATTCCATTCATTTTTGAGTATTGAACATAGTGAGTGAAGTGATATTGAAGATCATTTAAAATCAAAAAAACATAAATTGAAAATTACTAAGTTCAGCAGGTTTTTCAAAAAAAAATTGAAACATTTTTTCAAAATATAGGTAATTCAAAGGAAAAAATGAAAGTTCATGCAGCTGAACTTACTCAAGCCTACCCAGTAGCGACGCCAAGATATTTTTTTAGGTAGAGCCAATAGGAGGCCAACAATTACAAAGTAGGGCCACAAAAAAAATGAGATTTCAGCGGAAAAAAAAACAATACTGATAGCCCAAGTAGGTAAATTCTATTTAACTTTTATTTAACAAACTATTAAATATAAACCATAAATAAAACATATTCAATATAAGTGCCTATGAAAACATGTATATATAGATGTATGTTACAAACTAAAGTATCTCAACCACCAAGTAAGGAAATATTTTGAACATGTATAATAACTATAATAATAATTTCTATCATCTCACTCAAAACTTTTAAGAAATTAAAAATTAAAATACATTTTTTTTTTTTTAAAATGAAAGCAAACCAAAAGTGTTAAGTTAATTTTTAAAAATTAAATAGGCTATACTACGTTTTGTTACTTTGAAATGTGTACAAACAATGCATCCATTGTAGACTAACAATATAAAAAAATGACAAAATATTCATTCGGCTGAGATTAAACATACGACCTTTTGCAATATAATGTAGCAGTATATTAAAGTTACATACGGTGAACATGTACTATTATTTTCTGCTTCCATAAAATTATTATAATTTTTTTATATTATAATGTCAAAGGTCAGGCCAGTGGTAGGGCTATTGGTAGAGATAGGCATTTTCATGTAGGGCCATGACTCTATCTGGCAAGTCCCTGGCGCCGCCCACTGAGCCTACAATTCTGTTCTTAACCACCAAAGTTTTAATTCAATATACATGAAAAACAAATAAATAAATGGAATTATATGGAATTTAGTTATGAGAAATTGATAGATTCTTTAAGAATTGTGTCAGTTATGTACAGTAAGTATAGTAAATTACTTAAACTTCGTCAATACATATTTGCTATTCCAGCTCATAATGCAAATGTAGAGAGAATTTGTTTTAATATGAACAGTCAATGAACTTATGAAATGAATCAAATGGAAATAGAAACAATTGAAGCAATTTTTCATGTTCAAACAAATTTTAATTTGAGTTGTTCAAATTTTTCTAATTAAGTTGAATCAAAATTCATTATTGTTAAAACTAGTTAAGTCAAATTCAAAGTATCATTAATAATTAATTTAAAATGTTTTCTTAATTAATAATATTAATTCTTAAATTAATATAATGACATAATCTATTTATATTTCATACATATAAATTGTATACATAAATATTTTGTTGTCTCAGTTTTTTGTTTTATTGATCTGGTCACCCTATATACCACTAAGATTATTCTTTAACTAATGGTGTTATATAAATTTAATGATTGAATATCGAGTTGCCCATTTTAATTTCCCTAAATAATTATCATTATTCATTATGTTTTGGTACAACTTATTTGAATTGTTACAGATTATCATATAAGTCATGAAAAATAACAAGTCTAATTAAAAATGTTTTAAGCTTTTTAATAACTTATAAATTGATTATAGGTACATTATTAAAATATTTTTTTTTTGTTTTCAGAAACATTGGATAACTTTGGTCACCGTTTACAGTGAATTGAGTATCTGATTATGAGTGCTGGAATTCTATTTCTTATGATTGAAGATTACATTTTTAAGGAAATTACTAAGAAATTTTCAAAAAAAATACACAATGTTCGGCCAACATTAATGAAAAAGATTAACATATAAGTATTATAAAATATTAACTGATCAATTAAAATTTAAACGTTACTAAAAACTGTATATATGTGTAACGACTACAGAAGACAGTTGGTGAGCCTTTAAAAAGTATTGAATGAACTTAACATTACAATAAGTTACAATAAACTTCACTAAAACTATACCTCAGTGGATTTTTCATATCTATATATATATATATGTATATACTCTAGCTGTCCCTCGCCCGACGTTACCCGTACCAATTTTTATTAATATTATTTTACCCATATTAATTTTTGGTTTTGGCCGTGTCAAAATTTAATGAAAACAAATAGGTGACAAATGAATAGTCCACCTTCGATGGGCTAAATATGTTCTATTGTGAAATTTTAATAGTAATAACAATAATTAATGTTATTATTATAATTTTCTTTTTCGTTACACCAAGGTAACCCTTGAATAAACAAAAATAAATAAGTAATTAGATTTTCATACCAAATATACCTAAAAACCCTTATTTTACCTTCTTAGGAGTTGAATTTTTAAAAATCCTTTCTTATTGCATGGTGAAAGTATTAGAGGAACCACTATTCCAAATTTCAAATGCATATGTTGATTAGCTTTTGAGATACAACGATCAGTGAGTCAGTGGTATTTGTATTTTATATATATAGATTATAGATAGATGTTTAATATTTAAAACCTGTAATTAAGTATTGAATATTTAAATCAAGGAAAGCCCCGAATTGGATTTATTTAATTCAAAATACATTTAATAATAACAATGAATGTCATAAAAATGATAATATTAGCATCTTAGCATATATTAGCAAAGTGTTTTACATCATGGTCTTCAAAATTAATTTAAGCCAACAAAATTAACAAATAATGAAATAAATTGTATTGAACATATTTTGTAAATATATTCTATATAAATTTATAAAACAATTTAATTCTGTTACTACTTTTTGAACTTTAATAAAGGAATATGTAATTATTTAATGTCAGTTTACAGGTGTGTATCAAATACAGAAGGTACTTCTATACCTTAGTAGTGCATCTGTAGAGAGTTTTAGTGATGGCTAATCAAAATTTAGAATTTTACTCAGATACTTTTTTAAAAGTAATTTTTACCCTCTCATCAATAGATTATCCTCTCGTTTAATCCCCTGAAACATCGCAAACGGTTATAGCCTAGACTAATATACCTAGTCTTTCAGGTGGCACTACTGAGTGCTTGCCCAAGTTTATAGTGACCATACTAAAGTAAAAATCTAATAATCATTTACTGTTGTTATTATTAGACAACAGTGCCTATTACAATTATATTATGTGTAACTTACCTAATGCTTATATTATCTACATTTGAATGAAATAAACTATTTAAGCAATATAATATGTATATTATTATAGTAAACTGTGATAACTCTGTAAACTTGTTGATAATCCAAACAACCATTACATCCATAACCATTAAAATAAATAGGTACCTATAATATTTTCAGTAAGTATATTCTATTATTGTTTTTCGATTTAAGTTTTTATCATTATTATTGTTATGTTACATAACATTATAGTGAGTTGAGTTTATAAAATGTATCTATCTAAAACATCAAAATAACAATTTCAGGGTAATTTTGTTACATTATACTCGTGTAATATGAAAAATGAATTCAAAATTGATATTTAAATGCTTTATGCCTATATTTTTTTCAAATTTCAAGACACTTTTAGGTAAAGGTAATTTCTATAAAAACTAAAATATATAAAACAATAAAAATAATGTTTTTTTTTTTTTACATATAATAATATGTTTTATTAACAAAAATATAATATCATTCGTGTTGATTGGTTTATTATATAATATATATTGAACTACACTCGGATAAGAAGCGTCAATTTTTTTATTAGTAGGTACCTACCAAGACTTTGTTATCTTTTATGGGAGCACGCAATAAATATTGTAATAATATATTATATTATATCCTATAATGATCTGTAAATACTAAAATATTGTGTACAAACTACCTAATATACTATAACAAAAATATTTATATTCAATATATTATCGTAGGTAGGTATTTATTGTTGTACAGAAAACCATTATTACCGGTTTTATGGTTTAAATAAAAAAAGTATAGATAAAAAAAAACTAATTATTGTAGTTTCACATTGCGTTTATAGACTATTAATTTTATATTCGAATATAGAAGACGGTCGTAAAAAAAAAAAAAAAACTAACCCAACTGAATTATACATTTGATATTTAAACATTATAATTAATCGAATAATATTATAATACATTTTGAAATGTGTATTGTAATTTTTTCGTTTATTGATATTATATTTTGTAGGTAGGTGCAAACACAAATCGATATTTATTCTGTACATTGAAAAAGGTCTAAATAAATCATCACTTACCTACAAATATAATATAATATTACCCACCTACGATATTATTTCTTTTAAATTTGTTTTCTTTTTATATCAACGCGTCTACTGAAAATAGTCAGCGTGTTCGTTCGACTATGAAATTATAATATCATCTATAAGTGTTGTGATAATATCTATATACAATTTTCGTTCGCACGGTAAAAAGGAATATTGCAGCTGTTTGTGGATACAGTTGTAGATATACAGACTGTTGTAGCGGCTCATAAACCAATTGTAAACGAATCGTATGTAAAAAATACCAAATAAAAATTCTTTAATAAAAAAGCTGACTTAACGTGAAAGCTTGTGACCGTAAAAATTGCCGACCGTCGTGGCAGAGGTAAATATTTACACACGAGAGTGTGTACATTATAATACGTGTATTTTTACGACGATCATAGTGTTGCACCGAGATGCACCCCTCGAAAATGCATCGTTTTATGCGCACACTACGTGTTCACCTCTGAAGTACTTTCGGTCGAGAGTAAATACCTAAACTGGGCATTGAAAAAAAAAAATGTAAATTACCATTGACCAACACATATATACCTGGACAAATTATTTATTATACGTTAATTATTATCATCTCACTTGCTGAGTTGTTGTCGTTTAGTTGTTTATCTTAAGAAAATAATTTTAGTCGGATTTATTTTATTTATCACATAAAAAGAACTTTGATTTTAAGCCGGAGAACAACACAGAATGTGGAAAGAATTAATATTATCGTGAAATAGTAAAAAGTCGAACACTATTAAATCTAGACAATTTAGACCTTTTACTACAAAGCTTGCGCTAACGGATAATTCTAACCAATATCGATAGTTCTAAATTGAAAATGAGCAATTCTAAAAACACATTTGGTTAGTACCTAAACGCCGTGAATTTTTTGTTACATTGGCACGATGGGTATTTAACTTTAAAACAATTTTATTGCATTTTTTCAACTTCAATTTTATCAATATAAATGTTATCAACCATTACTCCATTCCATAACCATAGATAATAAACTTTATTATCTGTGTCCATAATACCACTATGTGAATATAGACATATTATGTTTTATATCTGTGATGTAAACACAATGCGTTATCGAACATAGGCAACATTTAAATGCACAAACTTTGTTAGATTACACCAGGTAGATACCAGAATACCGTATATCTGAGGAGTCCTTAATTCGCCGTGTCGTTTCGTGTGAAATACTCTTTTCTGATTGGCTCATATTATCATGGTAGATACATTTTGATCGTGTCCACCAAGATATTACCACGTTTCTCTACGGATACGTGGTTAAAAAGTTATAATCTCTCTGGCCGTGGTTATAATAATAACAAAATAAACAGATATGTCAGCAACTTACGAGGTTTACGTGATACTGCGCAAATATTGTGTCCGGCTTACGTCACTTATCATAATATAAAATACGATAATTTGTGTATATCAATTTAAAGGTATCGATGATAATTATTTAAAATTGTCAAATTTTGTAATTTTTCTCTTCCAATTATAATTTTAATTATTAATCACGCCAATTTGCTTTTATGAGGGGTGTTTTCGTGGAAGTAAGAGAAAAAACAAAGTCAAGGACCAGGACATCCATCTACATAAATTTCTAAAAGACCCTGAACTTAGACAAATATGGGTTAAACAAATTGTATTCCCCTGAAATATTATGTAGACATCTGAGCACTAAGTATTTCAGTTTGCCACTATAAACTTCATTATTTCTAGGTGTGTGTTTACTACATTTTTTCCACACTGCAATGTAGAAAAATCATATGTACAACAAGTTGCATCATACTCTCCAAAATGTTTACGAAGATTAAAGCCAGATGCTATACCGATGACGTTAGTCTTTTTTACCTTCATTTTGATATGTTAATTGGGGATTTACCTATTTTGTTTTATAGTAAATATGGATTAGAATATGACGATATACCTTATGACCGATTGGAGTAATTGTCTATTTACCAGGACGTATTTCAAATCGTGACAAAATAAAAATTTAACAAAATATTTTGTCACGTTTACAATATGTTAAGAGAAAAATTGATAATAGGCGCAGGCCAATCCGCCATTTTATGTGTATCAAATTAAACTAAAAACCACGGTTAATGATAGAACCATAATAACCATAGATAGAATAGTTATGTAACCATGGTTAAAATTTCTTCGAGGTTATAACTCATATTATTGTTAATTACATAGACATATTATTATGTCTATGGTTAATTATTTTTATTGTAATTCATGAGTTATAAATAATTAAACTAATAAGTTATTAATTGCAACTTATAATTAATTATTTATTGTCTATTATTTTCATTATTAATTTCTTAAATTTATAACCTAGTATGTTATAATAATATACCTACCTAGTTTGTTTTACTGTCAAGTATGGCGTTTGTTTATTGAGTGCGTAGCGAATAGTGAGATTCCGGTTGGTGAATCCTTTGCTATGGATTTAAAAAAGGCAGATTAATATGTAAGTATTAATGGTACCTATTTACTTATCAATGTTAATTTATATAATTTATTAGTGATTAAATATTAATAAAAATAAAACACGTTTTGTTATTCTTATCTATCACATAA